CACGCAGGGACTTCCCGGTGGTCTCAGGTAGCCGCCGGGACCGCCCCCGCGGCCCCGCCTCGCGTCCTTCCGCACCTGCTGCGCGCGGTTCGAGACCCACGAGGCTGAGGAGCACACCTGGACCCACTCAAGCTGGGACAGCAAAGTCGGGGCGAGAGGGCCGCGCAAAGCAAGCGGAAACACACACACACGGCCCAGGCGGGGAGGAGGAGGTGCGGTGGCTGGGGGGGATATAGAAGGTGCGGTGGCTGGGGGGGATATAGAAACTGAGACAGGGGGCGACCTGAGCATCCTCCAGGCCTTCATCTCCTTCATGCCAGGCTTCCAAACCCCTGGCACCAGAAGCTGTAGCCAGCGTTCAACATTCCACAGCCACCTTCAGTCCTTCTGGCAGCCAAGCACCCAGCCCTCCTTCCCATGCCTGCCTTTGTCTACACTTAAACTGGGGCAGCGCTAACTTAATGGGCCTAAGGCCTTAGTTCAGGTGACTGCCTTCTGGCCCGAGGGCAGTGACCTGAGTCTCTCTGATGGCCCTGGGTGACTAGGCGTGGGGAGAAGAGGTGCTAAAATCATGGAGGACAACTGGGATGGGACAAGGGTCAGGTTGTCAGGGGCCAGTGCTCTAAAGCTAAGGGCATCATTAATATTTTAGGAATTATGGGGACCTCAGGGTCTGTCAGCCCCTGCAAACAGATCCTTCCTGGGGGGAAGCCAGGGCCCTGGGAATGACTTACGACTGACCCCTAGTGATGGGGGTCATAAGCCAAGGTTGGCCTCTGTAAGTAATACTCCCCTCGGCCCCTTCCTGTGCTCTGCTCCCCTGGGCCTAGCTTGGACTGCCATTGTCCTGGCCTCTTCGGGCCTGCTTTACTCCCGGCAAACCCCTTCGAGAAGACCAGAAACCCACATGGGCTTCTAGGAATGAATGAGGTCACCTTGAACCAGGGCAAAAAGAATTTGCACTGCCGGTCCCACTTTTCGGGCCAGGATTCCCAACCATACCTCCTTGTCGGGATTATCTTAGGAAATCATTTCTCACGTCTCCCCACCCAAGTTCTCTAAGGTTTAGCAGCCTCTCCTAGTCCCTGACCCTGACCGAAAGAGCCGACCGGAAGGAACAGCCATCCTTCGGAATCTTAGCTCGAGAACACCCAAGGTTGGTGAGCAGAATATTGAGAATAAACTCAGAATCGAAATCCCCCCGGGCAGCTCACACCCAGGCCTGGCCGGGAGGGAACTGCGGGAGTGAGTGGCGGACACAGAACTATTTCCTCTCTCCCCTCTTCTTCCCAAAAACATCCACGGACACGCCCCTCCCTCATCCTCCCTTCTTGAATTAATGTCTCTAATCGCAACTAAAGATCCAAGAATCTGTGGAGAAGGGAGGAATGTGATTTTGCAATCCAAAGTCCTAATTATAGGGAAAAAATCATTATTTAACAAAAAGAATGGAAAAGAAAATGAATTTGGTTGAAGAGAAGAGGCGCTCAGTAAATGGTTATGATTTGG